CCAAACTCATCTCATTGCGCGCCATTCCAAATGCCAAGCAGCCCCAGGAAGAAAATTGGGCCAGTACATCGACATAACACCTTGGCATTGACAAACACATGCTGCCGGCAAGACAATGGCACCCTTTGTGGCGCGACTGGTAGTGCGCGCACAGAGCAAGTACCCGCATTGCAGGTGTTGGTAGCATGCATGCATGCATGGTATCCTTTGGCTAGTCACGTGGATCTGCTGCTGGACAATGCAAGTTTGCAAATCTGCAGCTGTGTGCGCGTGCGCGCGCGCGTGCGGGTGTTTGACTTGAAGCCTCTCGCACGGTAGAACGCACGCTGCACGCCACACGCCCCTTTATCCACGTGACGCCACGCGTCCCTTTATTCACGTGATCCTATGTTCACAGCAGATGGACGCGCGCGCCTTTGTACAGCTAAGGTGTGGCGCCTGGGTGTGCACGGCGCCTCTTTTGTACGAACCACATCCCCTTGTACCGCCGTCACCTACGGTAGGGGTTGGTAGCCGTCGTAGATACCCATGGTGCCAACACTATGGGCCCCCATGTGTATAAATACCCCATGCTGAGACTTAGTTCTCCTTCGAATCATCACCTATGCAAAGATCTCCTGTCTTAGTCGTCTACGATTGACTGAACACGTGACCGAACCCCGCTTATTCCATATCGCTTGCTAGCCCCGCTCACTGGGCAAAACAATGGCGCGCTTGGTCAAATATACTCTGCCGCGCGCTGCGCGGGCCTAAACCTAACCCTAACCGCGGCAGAGCCGCACGCTGCTACGCAGCGGACCCTAACCCGCCACACAGCAAGTTTTAAAGTCTGGTGATAGCAGACGCTTGAGTGGGCATCTGATCAAGGTCTGCGGACGTTCAGAAGCGTCTTTTGGCGGAGTGCGGCCTAGTTTATGCCGTAAACTCCTCGACTTATACCAGTAGGCCCAGACCGAGATCCCCCTTGGCGGTAGTAGCATGTGTATGGCGTGCACCTGGCGCGCATATGGCGCACGCCTGTCTGCGCCAGTTTACAGCATAAAAGTGAAAGTCCGTGGATCTGCAGACCTCCGGACGCGTTTTGTGGCGGGGGATTTGGCCGCGCATCCGCTTTTGCGCCGTGAAAGTCTCGGGCATATGTATAGGGATCATTGCTGTCAAGCAATCCTTTGACGTATCAGAGAACCTGTGCAGATCAGTGGTCTGCATAAAAAAGCAATCAATGAGTGTTGCCTTGTGCTGCTAGTCAAATATGCATCAGACAAATCTGGCCACCAGACTCCAAATCAGAAGCTTACTGAGCTCATCACCCATGTAAGAGCAACTGGGACTCCAACTTGGGCTAGAATTTGCTGCGCAAGAGCATGCAGCTTTGCCACAATTTGTGATTGCTACAATTGTAGTAGTAGTCAGGCCGCGCAGCAGCTTGAGGAACAAGAACATCTGTGCCTGCACGCGCAGCGCGCAACGGCAGATTCCAAGTTGTGCAACAATGGCCATTTCCCATCGAATTGCGCCCGCGTTTGTCGCTCCGCGTAGTGCGCATACCGCGCGTGCTCAATCCATGCACGTGTCGTGCATCAGGATGCATCCGCGCATGAGCACCTTGCATGTTGTATTCTCATGCGCGCACGTTGAATCTGGCCGCAAAGGCAGAACCAAGCCGAAAGCGAACGGACTCTTCCTTTGCTACCTTCACCATCTCGACTCGACGCGCGCCGCACGCGCGATTTCCGTAAAGTAGAGGTCCAAAGTGCAAGACGGGGCGAAGGTCAAGGGGCGAAAAGGCTCGGAGTCGCTCTAATGAACACTATGCACGCGGTGGAAGGCATATCAAGTCATTCTTGCCCCGAGTGCGCCAATAATGGCCGCACAGGTCCTCGTCGCGTTAATTGGCGACTGCGCTCGCTTCGCGCCTTGCGCGTGGAGAATCCGAGCGTGTTGTGCGCCAACTGCGCGCCGGGAAGCTCGAATCGATCACTCTGACACCGCGACTAGCTCAGCACGTGCAAGTGCAAGTTTGAGGTAAGCGCCCTCGATGCAGTCACATTTGGTTGCGCCATTTCAGTCGATGCGACCTCGTAGGCTGCCTCACAATCGTCAGAGAGTGGTATCTTTGCGTCTGGGTACTCGAAGTGCTGGATGTCCAAGGACTCGAGATGCTTGGAACGGCAACCAATCAGCTCCTGTGCTGGTTGTCAGCGCAAGTCTTTAAAGCATTGGTTCGCAGGCCACAGTATCGCTTCGCCCCCGTCACCCGCTTCGATCCCATCCCTCCACCCAACTCCGCACCATTTGTTTCATCCAAAGCCCAAACTCTGTACCAAGGTGAGTACTGCACGATTGTGCGCGCGCGGCCCCTCTTTCCACGTCTCCAGGGGCTTACCTTTTACGCTCTCCCATCGCTTGCGCCTGACATGCCCAGTCTAAGACGGTTCAACATGACCGGTCATCAACGCAAGGTGCAAACGCACCAGCCTCATCGCGGTCCGCCGCTGTCGACGCTCCGTGCTCGTCTGTGGAGCGTGGTGCTTCTGGCGACAATGATTTGCGTCTGGGTGTCCACTTCGCCCACGTCGGCTCGCGACATCAACCTGCGCGTGTACGGCGGTCAAAAGCGTGGTCTCGACCCCGTCGAGGCCACTACGCAAGACCACGCGCACAACAAGCGCGATGACGGGCTCAATCTCGAAAAGCGCTTTACAAGCACTCGCAATGTGGAGCTGGGCGCTCCCTCTAGTCGAGACGAGAGCAGCGCCGCTATAGCGTTCAACGGACTTGACAAGCGCTCGTCCGAGTCGGAGAAGCCCAAACCATGCGACCCGTGCTGTAAAAATGCTTGCGCGTACTACAACAATTGCAACAACATTTGTCTCAGGAGCCCGACCTGCAAGGTCTGTCAGCCTCCACCAAAGCCCCCTGGATCGAAGAGTCGCCGCGACCTACCTGCTCCACCAAATGCCGACGAGAGCAACACGGGTCACGTCTACGATAAGCGCACCGCCGACGGCCCTTTCGACACCGGTATCGGTACGCCAAGCTCTCTCCATGAGCGAGACGCTGGAGGCAGTCCACCGCAAATCCAGTTGGCCGACTCACACCTCGTTTCCAAGCGCGAGCTCGTCGATTTGAAGCCTGCCGCCGCTTACCTCACCGAGCGCAACAATGGACCGTGCGATGCTTGTTGCTCTAACACTTGTTTCGTCAACGGTACCTGCGACAAACCATGCTACGGTCCTAGCACGTGTAGTGGCTGTCCTGGCTTCAAGCTCCCCCCCGCGCACGCCGAACCGGCTCTTAAGCGAGAAGAGCCTCTGCTATCGCCACGCGAAGACTTCGAGCACGGAGACGATAACCACGCCTCCGGCCATGTCAAGCGCAGCCGAGCCGACCTTTCTCATGCGGCGACAGTCGATGCTCTCGAACGTCGCGACTTGGTCTGTTCCCCTTGTTGTCCCTCGGTCTGTGCAGCCTTTGGTCTGTGCGGCACCACCTGCCTTGGACCGTGCGACTGCGGCGTCGCCAAACGGTCGGCCGTCTTTGCAGAAATTGCACCCCGAGAGCATTACGATGGAGATGCCGTTCCGACCCAGAAACGTGATCCTCAGGCACACCGCGGTGTCAGTCGCTTACCTCGTGCTCTCCCGGAGACTTCAACCGCGCTGGAACACGGTGCCGCTTCTCGCACTACGAAGCGGAGCGTCATCGGTGGTACCGAGGCAAGAAACCTTCAGACATCCACTGTCCCAGCCATCTACTCGCGCACTGAGGTGAGTCCACTTTTGCAAGAGCACAGGGATTCGCTGGGACTCCAGCGCCGCAATGTCCCGCCAGAACGCCTCCCGCCCATTCATTGCGCCAAATGTTGCTTCAAGCGAAACTGCGCGTCGTCTACTGATTGCAACCATTGTCCACACGAACAGCGCCGTGATATGCACCTTCAGCTTCCGACTTTGCACAAGCGTGGCTGCGATGCTTGCTGCAACGTGCCTTGCGGATGTGCCGGTGTCAAGAACGCCGATTGCTCCACCTGCTCGGACACTCTGAGCGGAATTGCGCCTGCACCTCAAGCAGGATGCGAGACCAATCCGTGGATCAAAAGGAGCCCATCGACACCTCCATCTCTAGACCGGCCACTCTCCGGCCGCGAACTCAAATCGTTGGCCAGAGCTGACGTGGACTCGAGCACACTATCGCAGCGACGTGTTGAAGAGGTCATGGTCAGCTCCTATGATTGCCCAGCGTGCTGCGCTTCAAAAACGTGCTTTGTCTGCGACTGCTCCAGCGGAGCGCTTTCGCTTGCTGAACGCAAGGCTGCATCGCCCCTCACGATCGATGCGGATGCGGCCACACGTCCGCAACGAAGATCCGAGCTCATGGAAGGAAGTCCAGATATTTGTCCTGCGTGCTGCACCAACCCTGGCTGGTGTAACGGCGCCTGCGGCTGTGGTGGTGATTATCGACCTCGCTCACTCTCTCTGCCAGGAGCGCGCTTGACTGCAAGTGTCGCCGAATCACTTCAAGACAGAACGACTCACGCGGCTCGTCGTGTCTCTGCCATGGACTTCGACAGCGATCCGCCCGGTCAACTGCAGCAACGCAGCGAGCTTGTGGCCCTCGATACGATCGACTGTCCTACGTGCTGCGCCAATCCAAGCACGTGTTCCGAGTGCGAGTGTTATGAGACACCGCCTCTCGACGCGAATCTCGCGCACAGAGAGCTCACGATTGCCTCAGTCACGCACCTCGAACGACGCACCGAGTTCGCAAAAGACACGGGCATTCTGCGCACAAGAGATGGCACCAAAGACTGTCCTCCGTGTTGCTTGTCTCAATCGTGCGCTCCAGGGACAGTCTGCACCGGCTGTCAACCGCCTGCCACAAATGGTCTCGAAGCGCCAGAAAGCCTTTTGACCGGGCGCGCCGAGCGCAGAAATGTCCGAGACACATCAACTCTAGCGATGCGCTCTCCGCAGGGTGGCACACAAGAGGCCAGCATCTTGAAGGTGCGGGCACCTCAAAACGAAGGTCCATGCGAAGATTGTTGCTTCGACGTAGTGATTCCCTGCGGAATCGAGCACTGCTCCGGCTGCCCTGGGTACCAAGCTCGCTCCATTGCTTCCCCTGTGGAAGGCGCATCCGTAAGCTTGACTCAGTCGCTGGACCGCAGAGACGCCAAAGGTGAGTCCCACTCGTCCGTTGGCACGCCTTCCTTCGTACTCTGACACGCTTCTTGCGCGATCCACAGACATGTTATTCGGTCACCCTGCTCAGACTCGCTCCGTCCGCGACGAGAATGAAGGGAAAGACATGCCTACATTGTATGTTCGGACCTCTCACTCAAGTCAACCGGCAAGCACGGTAGGTTGTCCTCGTTGTTGTCTTGCAAAAAAACCTTGCACCGTTGGCTGCCCTACGAAATGTAAACCGCCTACGCAGCTGGCTCTGTCGCACACCGATGAATTCCTGGACTCGCGAGAGGCAGTCCCTACCAGTATCAACAGCGCGAGCGACATCGCCTTGCATTCTCGACAAAAGCCCGAATGTCCTCTTTGCTGTTACTCAGGGTCAGCACCGTGCCCCGGCTTGTGTCCGCGAGGATGCGGTGACGGCGCTGCAGCACTCGCCGAGCGCTCCTTTGGTGGCAGTCGCGATTTACACAGCACCGCGCTGACCGTCCGAGATCCACAGGCTCAACGCCTGAATGGTCGACAGATGAAATCCTGCAGCTATTGCTGCCCCTCCGAGTGCGCCAAATACAATGCTTGTGGCATCTCGTGCAACATTGCGGTTCAATGCAACGACTGCGGTGGGCTGAGCACGCGAGGGCTCGACTCGGCGACGGGCATCACGGAGGATAGAGACGATCCCCGGCACGTCGACCAGCAGGAAACGCTCACCAAACGAACCGGCCAGAATCAAGACAAACGCAACAAGCCCATAGGCCACGAGAGTCTACAAGCAGCAGACGGTCGGCTCAGTGAGCGGTCTCAATGTCCGAGCTGTTGTTTACACAACTCGTGCAGTCCTGGATATAGTTGCAGTCCGTCTTGCCTTGCCGCTAGCACCCCACTACCACCATGCAAAGATTGCTCTTCAGGGGGCGGCAAGACTTGGCCGCCCCCGCTGTGGCTGCGGGAAACAACGGATGTCACCCTGGACCACGTTCCAGAGCACAAAATTTCGACACGTTCAACTCGCAGCGAGTTGTCAACACAAAGTGGTGTGTTTCGACGGGTGTTCAACGGGCAGCCAAAGCCAGAAGAGCTGAATTGCTGGTATTGCTGTCCAAGCGAATGCGCTAATTACAACGCCTGCGTCACACCGTGCAGCAATCAGGCGACGCAATGCAACGGCTGCGGAAAGTTGCCGGGCCCTCCACCCTTCAAGCGAAGCGTGGTCGAGGTCGATCGCACCATCAGCACGACGGCACGTAAGCGCGACGTGGACGAAGGTCTGACGCAGATCCATGTTCCTACACTGGAAAGGCGACTTCAACAGATACTCAGATGCGACAACTGCTGCCCTCTCAAATGCGCCGCGACGGGCAGCTGCGGCACGCCATGCAGCAACGTGTTGGTGCAGTGCAACAATTGCCCAGGACCCATCATCTCCGGCCTTCCAGCAAGGCGCAGCATCCAACACACCGAGAGCTTGACAGAGCAGTCAACAATGCCGCTTGTCGCTCGGAGCAATACCAATGATGCGACTCGAAGCGTAAGCATGGGTACAGCCCTTCTCAAACGGCAGCAAATCAAGTACGTCTGCTTTTTCTGCTGTCCAGCCGTTTGCGCCCAGAAAGACAAGTGCGGCCAGCCGTGCAACCTAAAGACACAATGTACTGGCTGCCCCGGAGCTGCTGTGCTCACTGCAAGGGCCGGTTTACAAGATGTATGGGAGCAGCATACTATCTCGTCGGGTTCTGAAAAACGCGAATCAGCACACTCGTTTGACGGTCACACGTCCAACGCACTGGACAACAGAGATGCTTCACACTTTGCCGTACACAGCAAAGTCGCGCTTGTGGCGCGCACGCTGCAGGCTGACACCAAGCGCTCTGTGCCCTCGGTTTCAGAGTGGGAAACTCCAGCTGGAACCGCGCTTGAAGGACGCTCGCCGGGATTGGGTGAAAAGGGAGTGCACTATCAATGTGACAAGTGCTGCGGAATAAAGCAGAATCCGTGTGGCGGTCGCGGTCAGGTGCCATGCATTCCCAATCCCTTTCCTTGTAATCGCGCAAAGCAGTGCACTGGATGCGGTAAGCCTCCACCCATTACAGGACGGCCCCCAAAGGCGAAGCGCGACTCGGCGCGCGATCTTCGCACACTGCCAGAGAGAAGAGACGTTCCGGCAAACGTGTCGCTTGAGAAGCGATCCAACGAGGCGGACCATCTCGAGAAGAAGTCTGGGCATCAGTCGACGCCTGATCGCAACCCACTAGAATGGCAACGAAGGTCACCTGCAAACCATGTTGGAACAGAAGTGTATCCCTGCGACAAGTGCTGCAAGCCGCAGAACCCTTGCGGCGGCGGTCATGCTCTGCACCCGTGCATTCCGGTCCCCTGCAATCGCGCAAAGCAGTGCACTGGATGCGGCAAGCCCCCTCCCGTGATTGGGCAACCTCCGAAGGCGAAGCGCGACGCGACGCTTGATCAACGAGCTGTGCCGCAGCCAGCTAGCCGAAAGGTCAGCCAAGCCTTGGACATTAGAAAGCCTGCACCTGCGCTTCACACGAGGACGACCGATGCAGTGAAATTGGTCGTGAATCAATTGGAGATGCAGCGACGATCCCCCGCAGGCGGACCTGTGCCTGTGTACCGCTGCGATGCCTGTTGCATTGGGACCTGCACCGGTGGTCCCGGCACTCCCGATCCTTGCCCACCGTGTAATCGTCCTGTCCAGTGCCCGAGCTGCGGTGGTTAAGTCGAGATCGTCAGGATGAACCTGCTCGTCGCGTTCTTTCTTGTGGCGCTCGCGAATCGAGTCGAGCGTAGATTCTGCTCCCTCGACATTTTGTACATCTAAGCCTCGATCAAACACGCATGTCACCTATGCAAATGACGCAATCAGAATCCTCGTCTTGCGCCTTGTTTGTCTTGATTACTGTCGTGAATTGGATGGATGGTGTGCCGCTGCTTATTTACTGCATGCTGCGCTGCTGGACATCTCAAGAACGAGGCATACGATTGCCAAGGTGCGCTCTGTGCCTTGCATCCAACTACGATTCCAAACCCCTTCATCGCGCGACTGCTTTGCCCCGCGCAAATGTTGAACACAGGACAAACCTTCAACGTGGCGAGACAAGAGGCTTGGTGATCGGCGCTACGAGCGCGACCTGTCGAGCAAAGCAATCCACAACGATTCATTGAAGCTGCACTGCACGGTCCAAGTCTACATTACATGTACATCGAAGCAAACGCTGCTCGAATTCAAAGAGTCGCCTCGCCACAAGTACATTCGCGATACGTTTGCCTCGGCTCTTGGAGAAGGGGGTGGGGAGCTGGAGGAGTCTCTAGCTTGTGAAGTAAGTTCAAGTGCTTGGGTGGGTGACGCACAGCGCTGGAGTGAAGCAAGCATGTTCAAGGTGATGCGACGTCTACGCGAGCATCCGATCGCTGCGGTGCGTCTTGATCCGACAATAGACTGAGCAGCGTGCCCAGTTGTTCGATCTGGCGAGCGGCAAACGCAAGACAAGAAGAAGAAGAAAGAGTGGTGAGAGAAAAAAGTGATCAACAAACCATTGTGCCAACGTTGCGCTGCCCTGCGCGCCCACCCAGCGCTTGTCCGGGCGCGCATCCGGCGCAAAGTGGGCCAAACTACTCACATCCTCCACGCTAGTGATCGACCAAACCTCGTACTCTGCAGGTTGCAGACCTTGGGACATGCGCAACCTGTCCTTGTGCGCCAGCTCCTTGCTGAGCAAATGAGCGCACGCTCTGCCAGGTCCCAAGCAAACAAAGCGCTGCACGCCCTGTTCGACCTGCGAAAATTGCGCGAATATGGGCGTGGGGGGGCCGGATGGGGGGGGTCAGAAGAGCTTCTACGCGCAAAAGCAGAGGACTATCTCCACTCACCAGCTTATCGATGCTCTCTAGCCACCTGACCACCTTGGAGCTGTAACCCATCAAATCCGCTCGAATATCCTCCGCTTCCCTCAGCAAACTCGCACCCTGGCTGACCGAGCTGACAATCCCATACCCTTCCGACCTCATCAGAGGCAGACATCGAATGGCCTCGCGCAGATCGTCCGATGCTCGGTTCATGAGGCTGGAGTGGTATGGACCTCCAACGGGAAGATTGACCGCTCGCGCACCCAGCGATTGTTGGCGTATCCTGTCCGACGCCAGCGAAACGCCCACGCGCGTTCCGGCTAAGTAAAGCCCAGGCGGTAAGCGGCAAGAGCGGAATGTGAGCGTGTGTAGCCGGGGGGAATGGCGAAATGTGGGCAAGATGTCGGACACGGTCCCGGATCAGCACTCACACAAGACCAGCTGAAGATTATTGTTGATGTTGGCAATCTGCACAAAAAGAGATCACATCAGCCGATGCGCCCAATCCAAACGACGCCGCGGAACACTTTTCATGCACCCGCACAACAGCGATCCACTCACCTCCACCACCTCATCCTGCGCTACATCCTCCACTCTGCCAGCGCTGATATCCTTCTGCGTATCCCTGACTACCTGCATAGCAGCCAACAATTTGCCCGGTCTGACCATGACTCCCGACATTTGGCTCCTCTTCCAACCCTTGACGATCCGTCTGCCTTGCGTGTCTGTTTCCATGGTCGCAGACGAGCATGGGGAATGATCGCCATCAGAAGGTGAATCCGTCTTGCGTCGGACCTGCGCTGCGCTCTCCGATTTGACCACGTCAATGTCAGCTTCGCCAGATTGGGCCAAAATCGTCTCTTGCCCCTTGCCGCTGGAGGAGCATCGAGGTGTAGAGCACTCTGCGATCAGGCACATGCAGTCTCGCAAAAGCGTGCGCACGTCGCGTAACACTCTCACCTGCCAGAATTGGCAAAAGCCCACGTCTGACGAGATTGCGAGGGGGGGAGGGGGCCAATGGCAAGGACTCGGGTAGGCCAATCAGTCACTCTACGCCGACTTGCATCGCGCATCGCTTCGTCGTCTTCAACGCACCTCAAAGACGCTTTCAGGTCTCTTGCATCCCTCTGGAAAGAGCGTGGTATGCTCCAGCGTGTTCAAGTGTTCCCTGACGCCCTGGAAGCGCGTAAGCCTGACCGCATCGTCCAGTGCGAGGCTCGAGCTGCCTACCAGGGCAGCATAGACTCCAGCTCCGTGCCCAGCAGCCAAGCTTGCGTGGTCCAGTATCAGATCGCGCGAAAAATCCTGTCGAAGGACGGAGAGGATGGATAGGCTGCATACTAGGATGCTTGGAAGACTGTTGTAGGGTAGTGTCAGGGTGAGTTGATCGCCCGAGAACTTGGGTGGGTGAGTAATGAGGCGTTAGGGTGTGTGTGTGTGTGTGTGTGTGGCGGAGATGTGCGTGAGCACGTGTCGTGGCGCAAGAGCGGTCAGAAACACCTGCCGCAGGAACGTGCAGCTCACCACCATATCCCTCAACCAGCCCCTCTTGCGCACATCCGCTCCCAGCCCGGGCATCAGCCTTTGCACTCCTTCCGTGCCTTGCCACGTGCCTCTCAGAACCTCTTCAAAGGCTTCTCTCTGCGCACCATCTTGCCCAGGCACCGACTTTGATGAGCGCTTGCTGCTGCTGCTGCTGCTGGACCGCGAGGAGGAGGATGGCGATGCGAGGGAAGAGAGGGACTCCTCCGCTTCGTGCCATACGTGTCGGGCTGATCTGAAGCGTCTGTACACGTCGTTTGCCATCGTGACATATTGAGAGCCCTGTGCGGAGCAAGGGCGCGAGCACACGTGAGCCCATGAAAAAGGGAGCCGCAGCGTGAGGGGGCCAGCGTCACGAAGGAGAATGCTCGAGGGTGTGGAGTGGAAAGCGAGTCAGAGACTTGCAGCAAAGCCGAAACGAGACTCACTTGACCGGGAAAGATCAATGCCGTCTTTTTCCTCCTCATACCGCTGCTGCCCGTCGTCGCCGTCGTCGTCGTCGTCGTTGCCGCGCCATCCCCTTGATGTGCCTGCGCGACACTGCTCTGCATCTGCGTCTGTTCCTGCGCGTTGCTTGCTGATCCAGATCCAGCACCGCTCCCTGCTGCAGATCCTCCAAGTCCGTGTATGCGACTAAGACTTCCATGCGCTTCTGCGCTGCGCGCACTAGGTGCGTTGGCTATGCCCGCTGCAGAGGCGTTGAAGGAGGAAGAGGGAGAAGAGTAGGTGTGGATGGGTAGGGGACGCGTCGTTCGAGACGTAGGTGCGTACTAATTTGCACAATTTAGTCGCGAGAAAGAAGATGAAAGGAGATTCAGCGTCGGGCGAGCATCAACCAAGTCGCCGCCGAGTAGCCCTTTGTTGAAGCAGGTTGTATGCTGCGCGGCTGCTGCGAAGCTGCTGCGAAGCTCTGCTCCTTGCCCCTCCCTTTTCCCAAGACTATGCATGACCATCGCCTGTGCCCTCTGGCCCGCTTTGCCTTGCCTTTCCCAGACCAAAAGTCCCACTCCTCCCGCGTCAAGCGCAACTCTGCAATGCCCAACGCGAATGAACGGCGCACCCTTTGACGCGGGCAGGCAAAACCTTTTGTCTTGCCCCCACCGCTCGCCAGGCAGCCCCTGACTCACCTCGTGCCTGTAACTCCGCACAATCTTGCTATCCGCATCCGCATCCGCATCGTGCACCTCTCCATGTGCGCGTCCGGCTTGCGGGGTGGGAGGGGACGCGCTGCGCCTCTTTCCATACCCCACCACGGCTCCCGTACCCGAGGTGGACTTGGATGGCATGCGCGCATGCGTATGGACGTCTGCTTTAGCACTTTGCACAACATTGCCCCTCTGCTCCTCTGCTTCCCTCGACGATCTTTGCGCATCCTTCTTCTGCCCCTTTGCGCCCATCTCGTCCATCTCTCGCTCCAATGCCGGACCTGATCTAGACCCAGACCCAGACCCAGATCCAGCGGGACCAGCCTGGCTAGAATCGCTGGTGCTGGAGCTGGAGCTGGAGCTGGGAGCGGGATGCAAAGTCGTCTTTGTCCGAAGTGAAGAGGCTGGGCTGCAGGGGCCAAGAGATTGGTGAAGGGGTGCGGCGGATGAGAAATGAGCAAGTCTGATCGAGCTCGCGCTTGCGCTTGCGACGGCATTCACGTTGCGAGCGTGCGCGTGACTGGTCGACGCTCTGCTGCTGCTGTGCGCAGCCCGCGTGTCCAAGTCGGAACGGCGTGCTGGGCGTGCAGGAGGAGCAGAGTTGCTGTTGCTGTTGCTGTTGCTGTTGCGGCTGCGGCTGTTGCTGTTGCTGGGGCGAACATCCCGGCTCATCTCTGCCGCTGCTCGCTGCTGCTGCTGCTGCTGCTGCAACCTGTTGCACCAAGCACGTCTGCACAGCTCAGACGTGCGCAGCGCAACATATTCGCCGTCCAATGTGAATCTGCAGCTTTGCCTTTGCTCTTGTGCGAGGGCGTGCATGTGCATGTGCATGTGCATGTGCATGCGCATGCGCGCCCTTGCCTCTTCTTCAGCTCGAGCACATCCTTGCTGCTCCGACTGTCCAACGGCTGCTCCTGCTGCGACTCCTGCGACTCCTGCGACTCCTGCTGCTGCCACTCCTCGGTCTTCGCCCACCGCTGCCCTCTCGACATTCCCCTGCCACTGCCACTGCCACTGCCACTGCGACTGCGACTGCTCCAGCGTCCCCTCCCGCTTACTCCCCCCTCGCGCTCGTCCAGAGTCTGAGCTTGAGCTGGACCAACGCACAGAACCGTGTGCGCGTGCGTGCGTGTGTGCGTGTGCGCGTGCGAGTGGACGCAGCATGATGCGTGCTGCGTGCTGCGTGGTGTGGTGTGTGGTGTGGTGTGTGGTGTGTGGTGGTGTGTGGGCAGGCGAGATGAAGCGGCGCACGGCGCGGTGTGAAGGCGGCAAGTCCGCGGTGGAGCGAGGGGTGCGTGTGCGTGCGCGTGTGCGTGTGCGTGTGCGGGTGGAGAGTTGGACAATTTGCAATGGGAATGACTGAATGGAGCGAGCGTCTGTCTGACGTTTGTGCTGCCTTTTGTTGCTTTTGCTTGAAGAGTCTCGAGTCACGAGTCACGAGTTGGTCGATGGAAGGCAGGCAGCGATCAAGCGAAGCGCATGCGCCGGGCGTTGGTTCGTGCGACGTGCGACGTGCTGCAGGCAGGCTGGCTGGCTGGCTGGCTTGGAGAATCACGACGCGCGCAACCTTGGCGCATCGCAGGCGTCGTGATCAAGATCACGTGTTTCTGCTCGTGCTCGTGTTCGTGCTCGTGTTCGTGCTCGCGCCTCCACTCACGTGACTCGGCGCTTTCGTCTTTACATGCGCCGATCGACATGTTCAGTCACGAGTGAAGATGATTCTTGGACGCAGTGCCATGGATATGTATGCCCCTGCATCGCCTTCTCCTGCTGCCCCCATCCCCAACCCCATCCATCACGCTACGCTACCGCTACCACTCTTGGTGTGCGCGATCAAACAGCGATCAACGGTCTGCGCTGGGTTTGTGGAGAAGGCTCAAAGTGCGCACGTACAGAGGCCCTTGCAATAGGCCCCACGCTGAGAGGGGGTCGAGCACAAGCAAGGCGTATCTGAAGGGCTTAGGCAAAGCGACTCGGGAAAGGTGAAGCACGATACCAGGGCTGCATGGCATCTCCATCTTCACACGTTGCACCTCTTCGCCTTCACGTCGCCAAGAACTTGCTGGGTGCACTGCACTGCACTGCACTGCACTGCACTGCACTATTTGCTGTAGACGGATGAAAGAGCAGCGCTAGCAGGCAGGCAGACAGGCAAGTCGATCGTTTGCACATCTTTCGGGCCATGCAGCACGTTTCTGTCTCGCAGCCTTTGCTGAGTGGGCAGCAGCCGCAAGAGGGAGAGGGGACGGGTGGAGAAGGGGCGAGACATGCGACGAGGAGCGCAGGTGGCGCGTCTGGCGCGTCTGGTGCGTCTGATGGCGTGCCCCTGCTGGAGCCTCACACGCACGATGGCTATGCGCATGCGCATGGGCATGGGCAAGAGCTTGTGCGCGTGGATCATGTCGTTGCTCGCAGCACGACGCCCAGCTGCTCCCCCTGCACCTGCTCCACCACCTCGGCTTTGCAGGTCGCATCCACGTCCGCACGCTCCTTTGCCTACGACGACGTTCCGAGCGCTGCTGCTGCTGCTGCTGCTGC